GATTTTATTGAATTGACATAATAGGAATAAGTACACATAAATGACTGCCTCGTTAAAAACTTTGCCAAGTAAAATCCGTGGGGAGATCGGGACAAAACCTTAGCGAAGGAAAAAAGAGTGCAGTAGCTAGGAATAGTAAATTACAAACCTAAGTGCTTCCAGAAGATTCTGTTATTTCTAAGTTAGAAAAATATTCTTGTATTGAATCATCTGTGTATTGTTGTTTTCGTCTTCTGGCATCTTCCCAGTCTTTAACGCACATTAGCCCCTTCAAGATATCTGGATGCATTCTGCTTCTCTTCTCGTCAAGAATTCAGTTGCTTACGCTAAATGCTTGCTCCTATGCTACCGTTGACACTGGAGTTGTCAGAATGTCACGAGCTATATAGACAGTGTTGGAAAATGATCGATCTTGCTCTTCCACCACTGTAAGATGTCTAGTTTGTCGTCATCGATTACAAAATTTACTTCAAAATATTTTACTAGTTCGGTAGACACTTGTGTTGATGACGATCCTGCTGTTTTCTTTCTTCTTCAAGAAACTCCACGACGATCCTTTAGGTCCCGAACTACTAGTTGACGTCGAAGTTCCCTGCTCTTTTTGACCTGTGTCGTATTTTGCTTCATACAAACTAAAAACCTTTTCTAACATTCTCTTAGCGTCAGTAATAGTTAGTTGCATATCTATTCCTAAATTTTCTGTAGTAGCAGTCATCAATGAGTCAGTACCATCTACTTCGTACCTAGGATCTAAAATGGTTGCCTATGCATATAACATAGGACAACCTGACCAATAACTTTTAAATTTATTTTCTATTAACTTAACTATGTCTCCAAAAAGTTCTGTATCCTTATAATAAGAAAATGTTTCTGAAATATTAAATAGTTGATGTAAAGCTAAATATGCAGTAGGATAATAAACTCCAGAAAGTAATTCAGTAGCATTTAGTAGCAGTCATCAATGAGTCAGTACCATCTACTTCGTACCTAGGATCTAAAATGGTTGCCTATGCATATAACATAGGACAACCTGACCAATAACTTTTAAATTTATTTTCTATTAACTTAACTATGTCTCCAAAAAGTTCTGTATCCTTATAATAAGAAAATGTTTCTGAAATATTAAATAGTTGATGTAAAGCTAAATATGCAGTAGGATAATAAACTCCAGAAAGTAATTCAGTAGCATTGTAAAAAACTTCTAGAAATTTAAAAAAATACTCACCAATCTGCCAATCTTTATCAAAAATTAAAAGTTGATCGTTCTTACTGTTTATGTACGTCATGATAAGCTGTGAATAAGGGAGTGCTGCCTTCAACATTAAATAGGTGGAATTCCACCTATGTCTCACGTCAGTTGGAAACTTTCTTGGGCACAACTGAGTGTTCCTGTAATATTATTTGAATTCTTGGAGCCGAGCTCCAGAACTAGATATGAATAATAATGATTCTCTAATATTTGTTAGATTAGATGAAATATGTTCAATTTCTGCTTGAACTACTAAATTAATTATGTGACATGCACACCGTTGATGAAAAATTTCCCCCCCAAACGCTGGTTTCAAACTACGTTTAAACATGTTAATTGCAACCGTGTTAGCTGACGCATTATCAAAAGTAATAGTTAAAACTTTATCTTCTATCCCATAAAACCCAAAAATTTCCTTTAGTGTACTAAAAATAGATGATGCGTTATGAGGATATGGACACAAACGAAAACCAATTATCCTTTTTTTGTAAAACTCATTTGTCATCAATATAATGCGTCGTGACACATAAATATCCAGTTTTATTGCACCCCTCCCATAGATCAAAAGTGCAAGAGACAATAGCATTAAAAGTCCTAAAATTATCAACAAAAGATTGTCTCATTGCATAAAACACTTTCATGCAATCAGAACGAGTTGTGTTTCTACTTACCCGTTTAAATTGTGGGCAGAAGGCCGTCTAGATGAACTCTTCAAACAACGCATCATCTGTAAAAGAAAGAGACAATTTGGCACTAGTTAGAAATTTAGCTAGTGCCTCATGAGTACGTTGTGCATCGTATGTAAAATTTTGTAACCCCTATGATGTGAGTGATAGTATTTGTTGGCGGGGAGTTCACACTCCCACCTTGGTGCAACGGTAGACATACTTTCTAATTTCTATCTAGATGACCAGTACCCCCACCCTTTTTATTAGAAAAGTATTTTTTACAATATTTACATACCGCACGAATTTCCATTTCACCTGTTTTTGGATTTGGTCGGGGCTCTCAGTGAAATGCTGTCATGTCGGAGAAGTTCGCGGTCTTTTTTCCCTGCTGCGTTCTCCAGCTTCCTCATTGTGCACTGAAGCATTATCTACCAGAGCCTTTTCTGGTTCAGTGGGGGTGGGGTTGGGAGGCATAATTTCATCCTCAAAAAATGCGTCATCACCAAGCTCAGGAAGAGCAGTGAAATCAGGAAAAATTGATGCGGCCATTTTCTGAAAATTGATTGAACGTGAACTTTGTAAATGAAAGAGCAAGAAAATGAGTGATCGCGAGAAAAAAGTTTAGAATCAAAATGAAAGAGATAAGATGAGAGATAGAATGAGAGTGAGATAAGAAGTTGAGAGTGAATTGTTGTGTGGGATTTAGGGTGGAATTAAGGGGTATTTATGAGGAATTTTTGAGCATTTTCAGATTCTTAACGTTGGGCCCTTCGCGGGCCCAACGGGCAACCCGTGACGTGCCTAACGGCAGGCCCGTCATGGGCTAAACGGGAGGCCAGTGACGGGCCAAATGGGAGGCCCATCACGGGCCGACCGTTGGTCCTGCGAAGGCCTAACGGTAGCATTTAGATAGGCCGTTTTGCGGGCCTGGGCCGGGCTGAACTAGGGCCGAATTCGGCCTTGGGCCGGGCCGCGGGCCTTCACGGGCTTGGGCCATGGGTTGAGAAGCCGAGGTCCAGCCCTAGCCCATTACACGTGCCTGGCCGGCACGGCCCGTAACAGTAGCGGACCGGACCGTGCCGAACCCGGCACTATTACGGGCTGGGCCGGGCCATCCATGGACGGCCCGGCCCATTTGACATCTCTTGGTATCGGTATGGTTTCATTTGTACATTGCTAAATTTAGAGTTGAAGCTCAAAAATATGTTTTTACAAATTAATGCTCTCCTATGAAAGGATTTAGGGTCCGTTTAGTTCACTGATTTGAGTTTTTAATTCGAATTTAAATGTTATTTTATGCAAAAGCTTAATGTGATTGTTTATAAGAATGTTTTACTGTAATAAAATTTAAATTTTAAATTTAAATCCGTAAAATAAACATGACGTTAGAGTGTATCTCCAATAGGGCCTAAAAAACAACTATGAAAAAGATCATCGTTCAATCATTACATTGCATTAAAAGTTATTTATTATGTATTTTTTTAATTTAATATAATTTTAATTAAATTTAACATAGAAACTAATTACACCAGTAGAAAGATCTTACGACAGAAACTCTCAAAATTTAGTGCAATGTTTTGTCCGTGACAATCAACTTTTTATTTTGAAGTGTTGACGCAATGTTATGTCCGTGACTAAATATTACTTTTTTTTTTTTTGGCATCGCTTTTACAAAAATAGTAGTACTGCAGGTAAGGCTGACCAGAGCCTGCAGCAGTGCAGCTCCAAGTTGCAAACAGATATATAATTTGATTTTTCTAAATTGCCTAAGCATATTGCACGTGTAAATAAATAGCCACACTAGTCGATAGATAGTAATCAAATCTCGAGGCAACAGTCCTTGTTTGGACAAGGAGATTCATTAAAACAATTCCAAAGGAGTCTCATATATATATATATATATATGCGCTATAAAAAATAGACATATAATATAAGCACTAATAACTACGGTGTAACACATAAAAATTTGGATATAATATGGTTCTTTAACAAATATTGACATATAAAAATAAGAAGAGTAAAATGATACATATTTAACAAATATTAACGTTAAATAGGTAACACCAAAAAAAGAAAAATTAAATAAGCATTTTGGGTGCCAACAAATGCCTTTGGTTTCGCTTGATTTGAACCATCGCTGTCAAGCCACTGCTTAGTGCTTACGGACTTTTGTAGTATGGAGACCTCGTCCCTCCTCTTTAAAGCTTGCCACCCTTATTTATTCTATTAGTAAAACTCCAAACACTTCCATCCAAATGATCGTTATACATTTACAACATTAGAATTACATAAAATAAATATCATGTCATTATATTTTTATATATTACGTAGAAATATGATTCTATGAAACGATCATATTAAAAGCATAGATGTAATAGATATTAGAGAATTGTCTCTAATCCGACACCCAGACTGGAGCGATACTTGTTCATTTCTTTATAAATTATGTATATTTTTATTTAAAACATGTACATTTTCTTTTACAATAAAATATATAATATATATTTTAAAAAAATATATATACATTTTTTTTATAAAAAATATACATATTTAAAAAAAATATATATACGATCTGGTGTGTCGGATAAGAGACTTTGCCTAGATATTAGATATATGTGTGTATATATGTATAATATACCAACCAAAGACCCACCAGCTATGAATGCTCCTTCCTCTCTTCCATGCACATTTGCCCTGCAACCCACTGTCGGCGAGATTTTAAAAAGGTAATTCTCTATAGCTATGTGAGAAGACAGAGAGAGAAACAAGATTTGTTTTTTATTTTTATTTTTTTTGGTACTATTACATATACAATAACAAAGCTTAGCTGTTTGTCTGTACTTTGGCTGTACAAATTAGGCACACATATCTTGTATTTTTTTTTTCCAATCTTCAGTCAGCTTTCCTCTCACCTTCCCAAAACCAATACCATTTCCCTCTTTCTTCATCTCCCCACCATCTTGTATATAAAGCCCTTTCTCATCAAAACCTCTCATTCATCAAAACACAACCAAACCCTTTAGTGATCTCTCTCTTAATTTCCTAATTCTCAGAATTTTGTTTTTGTGTGTGCTTAAAACAGTATGAGTACTACTTCTTCTATTTCGAATGTTGTGATTTCTCCAAGAAAGCTAAGATCTGATTTGTACTCGTACTCTTACCAAGATGATTCCAATATCCCACTAGTGGTTAGTGTTTTGGCTTCTCTTATAGAGAGAAGCATGGCTAGGAACCAAAGGATTTCCAAGAACATTTGTGGCAGCAAATTGTACTACTTGTCCAATGATATTCGGACTCGGATTTTCGATTGCAATGAGACCCCGGACATGACAATTCAGTCCTACTTGGAGAGGATTTTCAGATACACAAGAGCGGGACCTTCAGTTTATGTGGTTGCTTATGTCTATATTGATCGTTTTTGCCAGACAAATCCTGGGTTTAGGATTAATGGAAGAAATGTTCATAGGCTTCTGGTTACAACAATCATGGTGGCTTCCAAATATGTTGAAGACATGTAAGTTTGATCTCCATCTCTATATATATGAGTGTTGGGTTTTATTATTATTATTATATATATATATATATGTTATCTTAATTAGACTTAATTTAGTTGTTTAATATTTGTAATGCAGGAATTATAGAAATTCTTACTTTGCAAGAGTTGGGGGATTAACAACAAAAGAATTGAACAAATTGGAGCTTGAGTTTTTGTTCTTGATGGGTTTTAAGTTACACGTGAATGTGAGTGTTTTTGAGAGCTACTGTTGTCATTTGGAAAGAGAAGTTAGCATTGGAGGAGGTTACCACATAGAGAGGACACTAAGATGCGCAGAGGAAATCAAATCTAGACAAAGTCATGAAGAAGGAAGATATAAAATTCAATTTGCTCGTCTTATGCTTTAATTTTGTATCATGTGAAGGATTTTTATTTTTATTTTTATTTTTTGCTTTTGTTTTATATTTTGGGGTATGTTTTGCCTATGCCATAAATACAAATGGTATTGTAATTTTTGTGTACATAGTTGAGGTATATAAATAGTTGAGGCTTGAAGCTTGTTGAAGGTTTGTATGTAAGGACTTCCGGTTGAGATAGATAAGGAGTGAGATCATAATAAAAATGTGTTGTTTCTTGACTATGTAGTATGTAATGAAAGATATACTATCATTTTGTTCAGAAGCTCACAATTCAAGAAACCACATTTTTTTTTTGAAATTTTAATTCTCTTAGAAAATTTACTTATGAGATGAGCCTTGTCACTCCATAGGTGTCCCTATTGCAGTTCCAACGAAATAATTATTGTTAAATTGTCTTTAAAAAAATTAAAATTTACTAAACTTTATCTGAAAAGTCCCCCTCCTTTTTTTTTTTTTTGAAAAGAACGGATTTTGTTTATTTTGTGAGAAACGGTGAATAATATATATGACCCATTATGTGCCTTATTCAAAAGGTTTCACAAAAGATATTCTCACTAATATTATTGAGCACTGTTCATATATTTCTAGTTTTAAAAAAAATAATTATTAAATTGTTTGTTGCGGTATCTTTTCCTTTCCTTGTTCTTTAAATCGGTTGTTAAAAGTCGAATTTCATAAAAAAAAAAAAAAAGTGGAATATATAATTGAGCAAAAAGGCAAACTTTGATTTCATCAATAAAGCTTTGGTTATTAAAGCAGGGCAAATTGACGGCCTGCATCAATCACCCCCACCCTTATTTATTTATTGTTGTTTGTGTTGTTTCGACTATAAAGTTTCTTTAGTGAAAGAAAAAGATATATATATTTAAAAAAAGTCTTCAAATACAAATTCAATATCTATGTTTATTTCTGTTTAGCAAAAACAAAAATTTCTACATATATGCCTCATTATTACGTGATAATATTTAATACGAAACGGTTAGCAAGTGCCATCTGTAAGTCAATTTTTTTTTTTGCTAATCGCCATCTGTAAACCAATTAAGCACATGATTAGGGCATAGAAGTGCTACATTTGACCTTCCTTTGACATAATTATTTATACTCTCGCACGTACTATTAAACCATTATATTACTAATTTCAGCCAAAAAAAAAAACAATTATATTATAAAACACACACTTATGTAATAAATATTAGCGTGCCAAAAGCTCTGCATAGGATCTAGACACAATATATTTTACTGTACTGCCAACAAACGACAAATTCGAGGAGGAAAGAGGAGAGGAAAGAGAGCAATATAAGAGGACAAGTTGTTTAGAGGAAGCTAAGCAGGAATCTTCTAACTTAGAAAAAAGGGGTAAAGAATAAACGATACTGAGGAAATATTTGGTTGGAGGATTTAAATTATGATTTAAATTATGATTTATAGTTTGTTATAATATTTTCTCTCATAAAAAAATACACATAAATTAAAAATAATTCTAATCACATGATTCTAATCTATAAACCAAACGTCTCATGATTAAATGTTTAATTTATAAATTTAAAATTATGATTTAGAATTATTTTTAATTTATGTATATTTTTTTAAGAGAAAACATTATAATAAGTTACAAATTATGATTCAAACTATAACACGAATTTTCATACTAAATACTTTATGATTAATTTTATGTCATAACCAAAAATTCAGTGTCCAACATGTTGTCATTTTGGTTACTTTTTAGTCCTAACTCCTAATGAACCTTGAGACACGCACCTAACACAATATTAAAGTGAATTGATGGCTTATTCTTATCTAAAGCAAATTATTAATTAAGTTGCTGCTTAGTTCACTCATAAATAATAATGTCGCACGATTGGACATTTCTGGTACGTACAAATCGAGTCATGACTCATGATGGCTTCATTTGTATATATCTTTCTGGCTTCTATTTTAGTTTTAGTTTAATTTGTTTGTAACAACTTTTGCTAGCTAGCTAGTTATTAGTTATTACTTGTTAATTATTGTGCTAGCTGTGAAATAGGCTAGTTATGTTTCCTCCAAAAAAAAAAAAAAAGTTAGTTATCAACAAATAAAAAGAGTTTATTTTCACCCATCTTTTTCGACTCATCTCGAGGCATGATCATTATTAGAACAACTGTTCCTTTTAATTATTTTTACTCATTCTCTTTTATGTAATTAATGATGGTATAGGATTAAATTCACAATGCTAATAATTATACTCTAATAGGAATAAAATCGCGAGAAAAGAAATTAGTAAAAACCGAACACATGAATAGTGCTGGAACTTTGGACGGGCCGCCCGCGACCGCCCGAAAAACCCGAGGATTTGCCCGAGCCCGAACCCGACCCGCCCGAGATTTTGGGGCCGCCCGCCCGAGCCCAAATTTCACCTTGAACGGGCCGCGGGCTTGTATTCGGCGGCCCGAGCCCGGCCGGGCGGCCCGAGCCCGCCTGAATTGCCCGAATTTTTTAAACTTTTTTTTAATATTAAGTTATTTATATATATATATATATTAGTATTACAATTTATATATATATTATATTTATATATATATTAAATTTGAAATGAACACACGAACTATATAAAAAAATTATTTCTTTATTAATTTTTAAATTTGTAATTCATGATTGCCTCATTAAAAACCTTACCAAGAAAAACCCAATTGGGATAAAAACTTGGCAAGGAAAAAAGAGTGCAATCATTTTGTGACGAATTACAAATTGTACAAACTTACATTGTTTATTAAATTACAAATACAATGTAAAAAGTAAATACATATTTACAAATTACAAATTTACAATTTAATTTGAAGCTAAGGGATCATCTTCAAAATTAAATGTTAATCGATTAAATTCATCGATCCATTCTTGGCTTACCGGTGAAATTGTATCTTGTAGACGTTGATCGGCCCGATCCCAATCCTTAATGCAAACCAAGGCTTCAACAATATCCCTTTGCAATGCATTCCGGCGTTCCTCAAGTATTCTTCCTGTCGTACTGAAAGCTTGTTCGGATGAAATAGTGGAGACTGGGATCGAAAATATATCCATTGCCAATCGAGTTAGGATTGGCCAAGTTAATGCCCGTGCCCTCCACCATTGAACTAAGTCAAACGATT